GAGAGCAATTGTGGCTCGCCTGCTGGAATTCAGGCACAATTTGAGCTTGCCTTGTTTTGTTTGATGAACATATTTTTGTACGAGTGTGTGGAGTGTGTAAATGTGATTTGAAGTTCTCTGTTTAGGCATAAATCCAATTTGACAATTGTTTAAAATCTTGTGTTCTTTAATGAATTGAATTAATCTGTCATTAATAGAATAGTTTTCCGAGGGTTACTGTGATGCCTCTATAATTATTTGGGTCGTACTTCTCACCTTGTTTAAAAATTGGGGTTATCACGTTCTCTTTCCAGATCTCAGGAAAGTGTCCAGATTTTAATAAGAGATTGAATAATGTCAGGATAGCAGCTCTCAGTTTGGGGCTGCTGTGTTTCAGCATTTCATTAGATATTCCATCCAAGCCACTTTATTTCTTATTTTTAGGGATTTCATCTTCTCTGTCAGTTCAGTTAACTCTATGGGCTTGTCTAAAGGATTTAGCCGGTCTTTTATAGTGTGTTCCAGGTTATTTAGTTGGGAGGTCAGATGTTTTTGGGTGAGGGTTGTTTCGTTTAGTCAATAGAGTTTTCTGAAATGTTCAGTCCAGATGTTTGGGTCGTAGATGGGAAAGTGTTGGGCCTCTTTGGATTTGTCTAAATTGTTCCATAATTCCCAAAAATAATTTTGATCGATTGCTTCCTCAGTTTTGTTTATTTTTATGTGATCAGTTTTCTTCTGTATTAATAGTGACTTGTATATTTTAAGGGTTTGTTGATATGTGGCTCGTTTTTGTTGGTTTGCCGGGTCTGTGTTTTATATTTGATAATTAAATTTATTTGGGCTGAATATACTGTCTTTGGACCAAACTATGATTCCTCCGGAATCTCTTCCGTTTTTAACATTAGGCTGTTTGATTTAAGGTATATGCAGCTCTCTGTAGTTTGATGGGGTGTAGGTATTAGAGTCTAAACGACTGTCATGAATCCAGTTCATGAACTTCCGTCTGCTAGCCATCAGAGGTCACCCTTTCCATTGTCATTGACTCTTGCACTACACACTGTTGCATAGCACCCCGGACTACATATCCCATCATTCATTGCACTGATTGCACACAGCACTGATTGCACACAGCTGTTTCATATCACTCACTCACTATATAACACTCACTCAAACAAACACTCTCGGCCGAGTATTGTTTAGCCTGTACCCTGTTCCGAGTCTCTGTGTTTCCTTGCCTTGCCTTCTTGTTTTCTGATCTTTGCCTGTTTTCCTGGATTTATCCCTCTAGTCTCGCCCCTGTGATTCTGTCTGCCGATCGTTGACCTACGCTAGCCCTAGGACTATTCTTGTTTTGCCCGCCATATACCTGTTTGCCATTGTTCGACCCTGCCTGTTACGACCACGTCTCTTAAATAAAAGCTTGCAGATGGATCCACACGTCTCACATCTCGTCAGCCCCGTTACAACGACTCCATGTCTCAAGTAAAATAATTATATCTGAACTATGTACAGCGTTAACAAAATCAGGATTAGTACTTTTCTCTCCAAAAGCTGAAGAGAACATCCCTTGAATATTATAACAGGTTATTTTAAAGGACGACATTGGGTTATTGTATTTACCAGAATAATGTATGAATTCATGACCAAATCATGTTTTAAAACATAAATCAATCGATTAAAAAAGCATAGAGGATACACATAAAAAATATCATGAGTAAATCAGTTTTACAAATGTCAAATCTGAAAGTAAACAAGTAGAAATAAGCCTGGTCCATTCTGGTCAGAATTGTGAGTTTATTTTTCAGAATTTCTAGTATATTTTTCAGAATTGCGACACTATTTCTCAGAATTGCGAGTTTATTTCTCAGAATTTCTAGTATATTTTTCAGAATTGCAACACTATTTCTCAGAATTGCGACTATCAGAATTGTAAGGTTATTTTTCAGAATTGCGAGTTTATTTCTCAGAATTGCGACTCTGTTTCTCAGAATTGCGACTCTGTTTCTCAGAATTGCGACTCTGTTTCTCAGAATTGCGACTCTGTTTCTCAGAATTGCGACTCTCTTTGGGTCATGTGTCATGTTCTGATTGGTTATCCTAGTCATGTGTCTTGTTCCTCATTGGTTATTGTCCTGTCATGTGGTTCTCAGTTCTGTTTGCTCATTGGTTGATTCTTGTCATGTGACCCTCATTGTTTGATATAAATAGTTTTTTTCAAATAATTTTTTTGATACTTTTGGAGCTTTGGTGTTGCCGACTTTACATTAAAAAATGTTTCCACTTGTTTCTTAGTCGAGCACCCAGTTGAGATCGATGTGCGTGCTTTTGCCTGCTCTTCACTTTGATATAAATAGCCCTCATGTTCCCATTGTTCTTTGTCTAGCTTTGATGTTGTAACTCTGCTGTTGGTGAGTCTGTTCATGTCAAGTCTGTTCGATTCAAGTCTGTTCATGCCAAGTCAAGTCTGTTCCTGTCAAGTCAAGTCTTCTGGATTATGTTTTGTCTCTATGTAAATAAACTGCACTTGGGTTCTCACTTCAACTCGCATTCAGTGGACCATTTGTTACAGAAAGCTAGACCACAACAATGAACCCAGCAGCTTGTTTATTGCACCTTCGACAAAGCAATCGGGGCATTGAAGACTATGTGGAAGATTTTTGGGGACTTTTTGACCAGGTGGGCTTTAATGACACTGCTCTTAAAGACATTTTCCGTTTTGGACTCACAAATAAAATCTCTAAATTAACGCCACAACACACTCCGCACTGGACTCTGAAACAATACATAGACTTTGCGCTTCGGTTGAGTGGTTCCTCGTTTACTGTGGGGATTGCGGATGAGGAATACTGCAATCCTACAGTAGCCACCATACCAGTTAAACCAGAGTCTTCTCACGTCATGTCTGCTATGCCAAAGCCTGCACACGTCATGCCTGCCTTGCCAAAGACTGCTCACGTCACGTTTACTACGCCAAGGCCTCTTACGTCATGTCACGCCTGCCAAGCCAGAGTCTGTTCACGTCACGTCACGTCTGCCAAGCCAGGATCTGCTCACGCTATGCCAGCCACTCAAGAGACGCTTCACAAAATGGCCGCCAACCTAGAGTCTCTTCGCAAAATGGCCACTGTTCCAGAGTCTCGTCACGTCTCAGCTGATCTTCCAGAGTCTCATCATGTCTCAGCTGATCTTCCAGAGTCTCGTCACGTCACAGCTGTGATTCCAGAGTCTCGTCACGTCTCAGCTGATGTTCCAGAGTCTCGTCACGTCACAGCTGTGATTCCAGAGTCTCGTCACGTCTCAGCTGATCTTCCAGAGCCTCGTCACGACATGGCCACCATTTCAGAGTCTGCTCACATCAAGCCTGATTCCCCGGCCAAGATGGCTGCCACGCCTGAGTCCCCGGCCAAGATGTCCGCCACGTGTTGCCAGTGTGATGGGCCCACCACTAATGTCCTCTCCTGTCTATGAGTCTGCCCCAGAGGCCTCTACTGTCCATGGGTCTGCCCCAGAGGCCTCTCCTGTGCTTGAGTCTGCCCCAGAGGCCTCTCCTGTCCACGAATCTGCTCCAGTGCATTTTAGAGGTGGCGGCGTCCGCTTCGAAACTCTCTGCCTGTCCTGTCACAGCCAAGGAGGCCATTCATGAACTCTCTGCCTGTCCTGTTATGGCCATGGAGGCCACTCATGAACCCACTGTCTGTCCGGCCACGGCCATGGAGGCCACTCATGAACTCGCTGTCTGTCCTGTTGCACCATGGAAGCTGCTTAAGAACTCTCTGCCTGTTCTATCACGGTCAAGTGGTCTGTCCATGTCTCTGCTCTGCCATGGCTCCCTGCTCTGCCAGCTCCACCATTGCTCACTCGGCCTGCTCCGCCATGGCTGTCCACTGAATTCTGGGATTATTCCTAAAAGTGAGCTGCTGATTTTGGTGCAGTAGATGATCTGGTTCTTCACACATAATGCTGAACGTCTGATTCCTGACCGTAGGCAAGTAGATTTAGCTGGGGCAGATTCTGGGTCGCAGCACTAATATATGAAAAACATTTTGTAAGCTTTATATTCTAATCGCTGAACACATGCGGACAGAATTTTGCCAGAGATATAATGTCCTTACGTTATCTTGTGGGTAGTGTGCTAATGTCGATTGACAGGCTCGAAGTACATACATAAAATGCTGCATAATAATTGCCTTAATATAGTATTTATTAGCTTTATTTATTTATAAGTTGTCGAGGAATTCGGGTGAGGAAAACTTTATTTTTTATTTTTTTTTGTGTATCTGTATGCATCATTTGGAATTGAACTTGAACTGAAATTGAACTCAATTGAACTGATTGAGACCTTGTGTGGAATTAACTTTGTTACACAACACAAAAAAAGTGCCTGTTGTCTTTCACACTGAAAAAAAGCCTTTGGCAGTGAACCTGTGTGCCTTTGATAAGACTGTTATTTCCGGTGGATTCTGGGAGGCATAGCTGATCAATAGTTACACATTATACTGTTCTTTGTTCTGTAATCTCTCATGAGACTTCACTCTCATTAAAAAGGCTCATTTAGTAAATGTAAGCTATTCATTTAAATGACAGACAAACACAAACTGGGTGCTTAATGCAAATGTAATTGTCCACATTTACAAACTCAGGAGATTGTGTTCGTCCATCTACACAAATGTCTCTTTATGTATAGAGACAAAAGAATGAGCTTAATCTCCATCAGTTTTAGTGATCGTGTAGATTTACAAAGATACACCACAAAACATCTGCAGCTTCTGCTTTTATTTCTAATCAAACACAAATCCTCTTTAAGCAAATGCGTTAAATCTCATCTAAATCTATTCTAATTTTAATTTGAATCTACATGTATCTCATTAAATTGCAATTGTTGTGATAACAAACCAATCGGTGCAGACTCGATTCAATACGTGTGTCCTTCTTCTCTGTGAAATAATCATATAACGAACAAAGGCGGGGCCCCTACAAGGCGGGGCCCATGGGCTGCAGCCCACTCAAGCCCAATGCTCAGGAGTCTGTCTGAAGTCACTTTCGGAGGAACCGTGAACAAACGCTGCTGTAAAGTCATTGTCTGATAAAGGAGCGAGTCATAAAGCAGCTGCAGCGTGGAGTCTGAGGAGAGGTGAGCAATATTTGACACAGAAACACAAACATCAGACACATTCTCCAGGTTTGGAGTGATACTGTGCTGCTACTGAATGTCTGGTGATCAGTGAGTGTAATGCATGCGAACGGAACCGATATAAAGTTATAAAGTTAAGACAGATATGATGAGTGTATGAGTGTAATTGTATAAAAAATGGCTTTTCTGAAATGCATTAGAACGTAGAACTGAACACGCATCGCAGTGCATTTGTTTTAATCGTCCTCTATATGTTGAAACACATAAAGTCTCTAGCAGCGGCGAGCTAGCGCTCAGGCCAGCTAGGGACCGTCTACAAAGTACACGTGGAAGGATAAAACGATTAAATGTTTTTTTTTTTTTTACAATTGACAAAACGAGCAATTTGTGCACCAAGGTCTTCGAAAGATATAACGACAAACACTTATAAGCTCACTTGAATTTAAATAAGAAATATTGTAAACAAGATATGTGATAGTGGTTAAATATATTAATAAAAGAAAAACAATATTAAAAATCATTATCATTCCATAATCCAGTGGTTATTACGCAGTCGGCCAGGATTAAGAACTGCTGGGCTAATGCTTGGACAGCTTTGACGTTTTAACGATTGGTCGATTATGCACAATTATTGGTCAAACTACTATTCGATCATTACCTTCAGCAAGTATAAAAACAGGAAAACAAAGCAAAATATAGAAATCCTGGCCAGGACGTGTCCCGTAAAAATGGCACGAATGGCCACCCTAGCTATAATACGCCTTGGTAGTTTTGATTTGAAGTTTCATGTGGATATATAAATAGCTGCATATTGTTAAAACTAATCGTGTTACTGATATCTTTGTAAGACTGTCAGCTCTATAAAACAAGGACACGGTGAAAGCGAATATCCAACCAATATCCAACCTACAACTAACTTTACTGTGCTTTACATGGTTAAAATCAAGTATAGATACTGATAAAAGCTTCATATTGAGCCACATGAGACATTTCAAATCTATACATACTTATGAAGAGATAAGATAGACACTGCAAACATTAACATTGTATTTTATAAGATTTTATCATCACTGTCAGTTTCTGCACATATAAAACTATAAGATGTTAATAATGTAACTATTGTATTGCTCTGAATGTATTTATTAGAAAATCAAATAATATTTGGTTATTCTGTGCTCTAGTGTAGTTATTTACTTGTAGCTGTCAATGAAGATAGGTGTCATTACATTTCTGTGTTCATGCTTTAATTCTTACTATTATTTATGTTGGGAAGAGTTTAAATTATATGGTTTTCTATATTTCTAGACCGATATCTTCTCGTATGTTAATAAAAAAAGGCAGAATAAAAAAAAATATATGGATCGAAATGTTAACAATAGAAAGACAGAAAACTACGGAAGTCCTAAAAGGCCATGGATTATAAAAAAAAAAGTGCTTTCTTGTTTTGTCTGATATAACGAGATAATTAAGTCGTGATAACGAGAAAACAAGACAGAAAAAAAAGTGTAATCCATGACCTCTTAGGACTTCCGTAGAAAACAGAGATGCATAGAATGTGTGAATTTCCATTTAATGTGACCCTGGAGCACAAAAGCAGTGCAGTCTTAAATCTGGGGTCAATTTTTCTTTTATGCCAAAAATCATTAGGATATTAAGTAAAGATCATGTTCCATGAAGATATTTTGTAAATGTCCTACCGTAAATATATCAAAACTTAATGTTTGATTAGTAATATGCATTGCTATTTGCAATTGCATTTTATTATTATTATTATTATTATTATTAACATATTTGCATCGGTAGTTGCAGCGCTGCTTCAAGACGAATGAACGAACAAACAAACACTTGTAATATGAATGAATGTGTTGATTATGTACAATGCCTGCACGTCATTGGTCAAACTACTATTCGATCATTACCTTCAGCAAGTATAAAAACAGGAAAACAAAGCAAAATATAGAAATCCTGGCCAGGACGTGTCCCGTAAAAATGGCACGAAGGGCCACCCTAGCTATAATACGCCTTGGTAGTTTTGATTTAAAGTTGCGTGTCGATATATAAATAGCTGCATATTGTTAAAACGAATTGTGTTATTGATATATTTGTAAGACTGTCAGCTCTATAAAACAAGGACACGGGGGAAAGCGAATATCCAACCAACATCGAACCTACAACTAACTTTACCGTGCTTTACATGGTTAAAATCAAGTATAGATACTGATAAAAGCTTCATATTGAGCCACATGAGACATTTCAAATCTATACATACTTATGAAGAGATAAGATAGACACTGCAAACATTAACATTGTATTTTATAAGATTTTATCATCACTGTCAGTTTCTGCACATATAAAACTATAAGATGTTAATAATGTAACTATTGTATTGCTCTGAATGTATTTATTAGAAAATCAAATAATATTTGGTTATTCTGTGCTCTAGTGTAGTTATTTACTTGTAGCTGTCAATGAAGATAGGTGTCATTACATTTCTGTGTTCATGCTTTAATTCTTACTATTATTTATGTTGGGAAGAGTTTAAATTATATGGTTTTCTATATTTCTAGACCGATATCTTCTCGTATGTTAATAAAAAAAGGCAGAATAAAAAAAAATATATGGATCGAAATGTTAACAATAGAAAGACAGAAAACAGAAATGCATAGAATGTGTGAATTTCCACATATGTGTCCCTGCAGCACAAAAGCAGTCTTAAGTCTCTCAACAATACACTGTATGGGTCAAAATGATCAATTTCTCTTTTATGCCAAAAATCATTAGGATATTAAGTAAAGATCATGTTCCATGAAGATATTTTGTAAATGTCCTACCGTAAATATATCAAAACTTAATGTTTGATTAGTAATATGCATTGCTATTTGCAATTGCATTTGAACAACTTTGAAGATGATTTTCTCAATATTTAGATTTTTTTGCACCCTCAGATTCCAGATTTTCAAATAGTTGCCAAATATTGTCCTTACCTTAACAAACCATACATCAATGGAAAGCTCATTTATTCAGATTTCAGATGATGTATGAATCGCAATTTCACAAAATGGACCCTTATGACTGGTTTTGTGGTCCAGGGTCACATATGTGAGTGCAGTGTTACTGAATGAGCATTTTAAACTGATGTGCTCTTTGTGTCGACACTGTTACTTTTATTATAGTAATATAAGGATTTACAAAGAGACCACAACACTTTGTATTTTTAAGGCTTCAGAGATAGAATTTGGAGGATATCTGCTTTACTTATACTAATGCTTAAAAGTGTAAATTAGTTAAAAAATAAGTAAACTGATTTATTGTTTATTTTGGCAAATCTGCTTCTTCCACACAGAAATTCATGTTCAGTGAAGATCCTCACAACAATCACACATTCAGCAATTCAGCAGTAAAAGCTGGAATATCTCCATCAGTTCACAAGAGAACACCAGCATCTAATCATCAGGAAGAAATCTGTAAAGACTGAGTTTATTAAAGAGGACAGAGAGAAGATGAGAGATCCAGAGCCCTGCAGAATCAAACACACTGAAGATACTGAAGAACTAACAGGTTGGTGTTTATTCTTCTTCATTAATAATGCTGACGGTTATAAAGTTTCAAGTAGCTTTAGAGTGTTTTTGTTGTAATTGGAAAATTATGTAGAGCTCTGCAGTAATATAGCTAAATAATCAAATTACAAGAGACACTTTCTGTAAACTGGGTACTTTTTTAACATTTCAGGGACATATACAGTGGGTACGGAAAGTATTCAGACCCCCTTAAATTTTCACTCTTTGTTATATTGCAGCCATTTGCTAAAATCATTTAAGTTAATTTTTTTTCCTCATTAATGATTTTAGCAAATGGCTGCAATATAACAAAGAGTGAAAAATTTAAGGGGGTCTGAATACTTTCCGTACCCACTGTATATAAAATGTACTTGATGTATTTATAAAACTGCATCAAAATGATCTACTTTCTGCTGTTACATCAGTAGGGCTGGGTATCGTTCAAAATTTATATCGATACCGATACCTTGACTTCGATACCGGTTCCTGAAAGATACTTTGTTCGATACCAATTTTATGAAATCAATTTGAACAAGATTACATTATCGTGTGCACCACATCTCTGAATGTAACCGGTGTGAACTAGTAGGTGTGTTCGACTTGACGTGGACTGACTGTGCAGACCGATCGGTGTATTACAGTACCACGAGAGCTAAAGAGAGCAGACTGCTCCATGCGCTTTCGAATCGCTCTCGCGGATGTCAAACACTGATCGATCTGCGCAGCACCTCTTCTAGTCGAACACACCGGCTAGTGCTGTGGACTTAAGCAGTGTTGCCAACTAATTTTCAGTGGAAGTTGCTAAAGGCAGAATGATTTGTTGCTGTTTTATATAAACACAAAATACTTTAATTTGTAAAATTAACATAAGTAGCACATCTTTATGATCAGATTTTTTACAACATTGAATTATTGAACAGTTACACATTTTATGTATTTTCTAATTAACTAGTAAAACTGCACATTCTGAACAATTATAGTTTTAAGCAGTGTACTAGTTAATTAGTGTGCTACACAAGTCTATAAAAATAGGACACACATAGGTACTGTTTATATGAAGGGACAATACGTATTTATTTTTTACAGGTGTTTTACCTGTGTTTTAAATTCCACATTGCATTTTGTGTTTTAAGGTTACAGGTTACAACTTAATGGATAACATCCTGGCAGAAAATGACTAGTACTTTTTCAGTTTTTCCACATATTTTTCTTATAGTGTACCTAACTGAACAACAATTACAAACTAATAACATGCTGTATCATAAATGTGCATTTATTATTGACCAATTGGAACTTGCAACTTAATGCACATTTGTTTGTACTGTTAGGCATCTTTCTCTAGCTCTCTCCAGGTTGATGTGCTGCTTGGCTGGGTATCTGTTCAATGGTTTCCTCTTTTTGTGTAATTTAGATGAAAATATGTCTTTATTATCATTTGCGTCACTTTACAAAAGTTGCTAAAAGTTGCCAAAAACTTTTTAAAAATAGCTCAATATGTTGCTAGGTGCCTTTTGGAAAAAAAAATTGCTAGGGTAGTCTGAAAAGTTGCTAAATCTAGCAACAAAGTTGCTAAATTGGCAACACTGGGCTTAAGGCCGAAGTATACTTCGACCGTCCGCGTCCACATTACGTCATTTTCGTCATCAGGAGGGCTCGCGGACAGCCGCGCACCCCATCCACATGCAGGCAATTTTTTGAGACTGCGCGGACAATCCGCGTACAACAGCGCATGCACGAGGTGAAAGTTGAGACAGAACGCAAGTCAAACTGCGCCTGTGTCGAGCTCGTCCATCCGCACTCATCTGCGGTTGAGTATACTTTGAAAGCTGTGCGGACGCGGCTGAGCGCAAGACGGAACGGAATACAGAAAGTGAAGTATACCCGGGCCTTCATTGGCTCACTGACGCTGATGAGATTAACCCCTTAGGTATCGAAATGTGGTACCGAACGACGAGACGTTTTTCGATACTCGATGGTATCGAGGCAATTCGGTCGGTGCCTAAAAAGTATCGAACTCAATACCCAGCCCTATACATCAGGGTTCTTTCTCAGGAGCTCTGCTGAGAACAGGTCGATTTTGGCCAGTCTAATTAATATTCATGAGCCTCTCTTCTGATTGGCCTGCTGTTTTCTGAGTGACGCACGGCCAGGCCAACCACAGGTAACTAGGGTCAGCCGACGTCACAGCGCCAGCTGAAGGAAGCAAAACAAAGAGTGTAACCTTACAGGTCGGCCGATCTGGTTTCGTGGTTAAAGTTAGCCTTTTCGACATGCTTCCGTGTTGTTGTTGCTCAGCAATGGCATGAACGTGATGTTGTCTGGGGGTTTGGCAAAAGGAGAGTGGGACGGTGGGCGGTGCTCGGGGTGGTGACTGAAGGGGGTGACTGTAGTTCTGACGTCAACTTTTTACGGAAATCACAACGGTTTGTGAAAAATCACAGCTACTTTATGCAGGTTGTGTGCATTTTACTGTGGATTGAATGTTTTGAAACTTATATGGTAGTTACATAGCACCTTGTCCTCAGTTATCGTGAAAAAAGCCAGGAAATTTCAGTTTTGACAATATGAGACGAGTTATCTCGTCTTTCAGAAGAAAACGCTTCCCCCGCCAAAGATGAGTTTTTACGGCTTTTCGTGTATTCACTGTTATACACTCGGGGGCGCTATTAGGCATCTTCTGAACGAATACAAAACCTCCCGAACAAAAACACGGAGAAACTAGCTACCTCTTATGTAAACAGATGCATATGAAAAATAATGCGGTCATCAGCAATGGACGGCATATAAATGAAAACTGCATAATGTTACGGAGTAAAATGTTGATCCAGGAAGTGGTATATGTCTGTGCAAGCTTTGGAGGTGTTGATGGAAGTGATTTACTGGATTTATGCTTTTCATAATCGTACTGAATATTATCCAGATGTAGTGTTTGATAAAAATTAGATTTTCTTTTCTATTTTCTTTTTGCTCAAAATAATGCATTTTTTATGAAACCTACCTATATTCAAGTGTGGATAAAAAAATAATGCTTTAAGCTAGAATAAAACTGATTTTTTTTGTTTAAAAGTAGAGGCTCTGATCTTTATTTTGGTGTATTGCATACTCAAATATTCATACAGCAAAATATACTGGAGGACATCACATTTGATTGAAAATCGCTAATGAAAATTAACTAAAGTTAATGAAAATAAAAATTTTTTACTTTTATTTCAGAGTTGATTGAAGAAAATGAGAAGAATGAAGAATTGAGTGAAGTTGAGGGAAAAAATCACTTCAGAACTGGAAAAAAACCTTGTTGCTGTCGAACTCTGAAAGTTTTAAAGAAAAGAAGAGCCAAGAAATCTTTCACCTGCACTCAGTGTGGAAAGAGTTTCACATACAAGCATATTCTTGATGTTCACATGAGAGTTCATACTGGAGAGAAACCATTCACATGTGATTGCGGGAAGAGTTTCTCATACTCATCAAACCTTAAGAAACACAGGAACATCCACACTGGAGAGAAACCACACACATGTGATCAGTGCCGCAAAACATTTTTGAGGGCTTCAGACCTGAAGCAGCACCTGAGAGTTCATACAAAGGAGAAGCCACATTCATGTAATTTGTGTGGAAAGAGTTTTTCATTACTACAAAGTTTGAAAGTGCATCAGAAAATACATTCTGCTGTGAAAGAGTACATGTGCTTTGAGTGTGAGAAGACTTTTACTACAGCGAGCAGTTTAAAACAGCATGAGAGGATTCACACTGGAGAGAAACCTTATACATGTGATCAGTGCGGCAATAGTTTCAAACAAAAAGGAGACCTTACGGCACACATGAGAGTTCATACTGGAGAGAAACCGTTCACTTGTGATCAGTGCGGGAAGAGTTTCTCACAATCATCAACCCTTAAGGTACACAAGAACATTCACACTAGAGAGAAACTGTACACATGTGATCAATGTGGCAAAACATTTTTGAGTGCTTCAAACCTGACAACACACCTTAAAGTGCATTTAAAGGAGAAGCCACATTCATGTCATTTCTGTGGAAAGAGTTTTTCACGTCTAGAGAAACTGTACACATGTGATCAATGTGGCAAAACATTTTTGAGTGCTTCAAACCTGACAACACACCTTAAAGTGCATTTAAAGGAGAAGCCACATTCATGTCATTTCTGTGGAAAGAGTTTTTCACGTCTACAAAATTTGAAAGAACATCAGAAAATACATACTGGTGTGAGAGAGTACATGTGCTTTGAGTGTGAGAAGACTTTTACATCAGCGAGCCGTTTAAAACTGCATGAGAGGATCCACACTGGAGAGAAACCATACAAGTGTTCACACTGTGACAAGAGATACAGTCGGTCATCAAGTCTGAAAAAACATGAGAGGATCCACACTGAAGAGAATCTGTACAAATGTTCACACTGCGACAAGAGATTCAGTCATAAAGGAAATCTGAAAACACATGAGAG